CCGCATGAACCAAATTATTTTTTATACATTTAATTCGAAGAAAACTCTCATTTTCTTCCGTCCATTCGTCTATAATACTAGACATAACATAATAAACATCGTACACGCGTGCTCCTGCGTATAGTCAAATCGCATACCCGCCCGCGAATAATATTGAAACATTTCTAAACTGCGACGACCGACCGGCACATCGCGATAACTTACGCTTTTTTAATTGCATCGTCTGGAATTTTCGCCGCGACATTTCGATTTTCGTTTTTCACGTTTTTGTATAGAGGCACACCTACGGCGAACGTTCCGCGACGACATTATTTTTCAATTTAGTACGTGTACATCATACGTGGGAATTATTGAAAACGTCGTCGTAGTATTATAATACTATTGTTAATAATAATCGTGGGAGGATATAGTTTATATCCTCTCACGGGAGGGGGGGGGGAGAGCGGGGATGTCAAACTTAAAATTCATTTTTAACGTTTGTCCTAAAATAAACGTTAAAATTAACTCATAGCTCTTAGGTAACTTCTGCTTTCTGTCGAATTTTCCCCAAAACGGAGACTATTACATTGTATTGTGTCCGTTACATCATATACTTTGTTCCCGGTGCATTTGGACACTTTTAGTAGCTCCAAATTGACCAAAGGTGTTTAAATTATATTTTATAGTTTTTTTTGTTTTTTTTTTTTTTTTAGAAATCTATACGAAAAGTAAAAAAAAAAACCGACTATCATCGCCACCAAATAGACACAATTTTCTTTCGGATGCTAATCTTACAATTCCGATCTAAATTTCTGGTAGAAAACAAAAATAGAAAAAATATATATTTGTTTATTTTTGTTTTACTTCATTTTCCGGTTTTTCCCAAAACAGCTGATTTCAGTTACTTTCAATTACAACACAATATTAAATTCACAATCTATACATTTCATTTGAATATCATCGTATTTCTAATAAATCCGTACGGTTTTATTCTGGTGCTTTTTCGAAAGGGGGAATACGACTTGTAAGAGAATAAATACAAAATGCATTACATTATTGCAGTAAGGCAGTAGGTACGAAAATTTGAACGGTCGAATAATAGTTATAAAAAAAAAAAAACTTGTTATGAGAATATTTTTCATACTTTAGAATACCGATGAATTACGCACGTATTTTAAAATAATATTATAATATGTAACGGGACAAAAATGAGTTATAAAAAAAATAACATTTAGACTCGTTTTGTCATTTCACTTTTACCCGAAAAAAAAAAAACAAACGAATCTAATATAATAATGTGATTTAAAAAAAAAAAAAAAAACCCTGTTAGGTATATGCATAATGTGTTTCCATTTATCTATAAATTATATTATTCGATTAAATGGCATTGTTTACGAACGCGGAAACACCGGTTGTACACATCATGAGTGTAAAAAAAATATAGGACCTTGGGAAAATTGGCAGCAAATCGAAATATAAACGTAATATTTTTATTTTTTTTGTTTTTTTTAGACACACGCAACCGACCAGAACATGTTGGTGACATCTTCTTCTTCTTCGAAAGCATTGTGATGTTAAACGCGAAATTTCTGGATGAAAGTAAAAGTGCAATACATTATATTATATTTATGTACCCGCAACACGACCGGAGAAAAACCATGAAAACGTTTCCGCGATTGTTATTAGTATTAACCCGGTAGCTTTCCATTGCGAGTTGAACGACACAAGCTATAACGTAGCTGTACGAAATCCACAAGCGATCAGTGTTTACGTTGTATTATGATCCATCTATAATACGATACACATATAACGAAGTTCGATACATTATCACGTTTTAGTAAATTATTGTGTCCACGAGATGAATGTTTTGTCGAAGAACGTACCGCATCTCTTTTTGTTTTTTGTTTTGTTTGGCATCACACCGGCGTATAATATTTTTGAAATCGTTAGACCCGTCAGTCGTTGTTTACTTCGTTTTAAATCTCAACAATTTTCCAACTATATTTAATATATCAACTGTTTTTTTTTTTTTTTTTTATCAAGTACTTGACCGTGTCTGAATCTTTCAGTCACACAGGCAGGCGTGTACTGACCGCGGTGCTGGGACGCTACAGCACCCCATTTCCTATGATTTTTCCGCTCCATTCGGTATGAATTCGCCTTAGGTATTAAGCCTACTTAACAAAAAGGTTATAATTCTCTGATAATATAATAGATCTATTACTAAGTAAATAGATTATAAATAATTTGTTTACAACAGTCATTTATCACTTTGCATTACTTAGTACATTAGTACTTTCTAGACGTACCTACTGTTATTTTTCAAAATATTCCGGCGCTTTTTTGAAATTTTCGAAAATACTTTCCTTTTTTCCTTTTTTTTCTATTTATAAAAGTGAACATCATTTTGAATAATTTTTTTCTAAATAACTGTGTTTATTATATTATAAAACACATCCTATGTTTATGGAATTGTAATTAAGTTGCCTACAACCGACGAATATTATGCATACATGCCATATGCAATAACAATAATAAATGGCAATAATATATAATAATAATAATAATTATAATAAATAATATAATCATAATATAATAATAAATTATTTTAAATTGTATTATATTATTGTTATCTATACAAATATATTGTGAATTTGTCCGTATTAATAAATAAATAAATAAACAAAATAACGAAAATAATTGTTGCTCTAATCGTTTCCATGTAAAGCACATAATTCTGTATTGTGCATCGAATAGTATTATAAACTGTAGTATAATCTCGTGTCGTAAAATTATCGTGTCACAATGTTCGTTCCCATACTCCTCCGAGACGGCTTGATCGATTCTCATGAAATTTTATATGCATATTCAGTAGGTCTGAGAATCGGCTACTATCTGAGTTTGTATGCTCTGCGATAAGTGGTTCCGGAGTTATGGCCTCTTGAGTCAACGTATACTAGCACGCACGACATTCAACAATTATTATTTTGCCATGGAGAGATAATATACGCTCTATGCGGTTATTTTTTTTTATCGGTTTCCGTGGCACCCGCGTGCCAATAACAATTGAGACCGGCTGGGCCGATTTGGCTAATTTTGCTAACCTAACCTAACCTATGTACGTGTGTTTGTTTGTGGCTCAGATTTGAGAACACCGTGTTTTTCACACGGACAATTATACGTGGCATGCTCTCGAGTGGGTAAACCATCCAGTTTGTTAGTGTTAGCTAAAGATGGACTAACAAAAAATATTGTTCACGCTATAGCATTAAGAGATTGATATTTTTAAGGAATAAATTATAATAACTTAAAAATAATNTTTTGTTATTTTTATATTCCCTCATCGTTCACAGCGCTCCATGCCTCTTTCACTAATTTACCACATCCTTAAACACTTACAATAAGTTAGTTATTTTTTTTCTAGACTATAGATTCCCTAGAAATAATTTATATGGCAAAACAACGCTTGCCGGGACAGCTAGTATTATACAAGTTTCATGAATGTTTTTTTTACATAACGTGTTTCATACATTTTTCTTTCGTGTTAACTATTTATTTGTTTTTTCCTAGAGTTTTCAATATCTGCTTATATTTATTTGTTCTTAAGTCTAAGCCGGACTAATTCGGTAGTCGGTAGCCTAAACGTAGGGTATGTGAAGTTGCTGTGCCACTGGGTTCAAGTATGAGCGTCGCGCATATAATTTAAGGTTTGGTGATATGAATGAAGATAATAATTATAACGGATAATTCTTCAACAGCCAATAAGTATAATAAGTACTTTAAGTATTCAAGTTTATTATATATAAAGTTATATTAGGTTAGGTTAAGTTTATTATAAGGTTCTATATGTTAAGTTACCATAATTAAGGTTAGGCATCTATTTTATTACAACTTTTTTTTTAATCGTGAATCGTCAGCCAAGGGGAGAACTACCTATGCTCTGCTTTCCCTCTTAACCACATAATAACAACGGACAATATACAAAATATCTCTACAAATATACAACGTAGTACATGTTTACAAATTGTTCACAAATAACCGGGTTTTCGCACCGCTGCGCTGCTCGTCACCTTCTTCCTTGTCCAGCTCCGTGTCCAATACCTTGAAAGTCACTTACTACAGCCGTCCCTGTAAGTATATTTACTTCCCTCTCTCTTTCCTTGATGCCTAACACTAATGATACGTACGCCTCCACTGCTCTCCATTTGTCCCGACTGTCCAGCACAACTGTCTCCGGGGAGACTATTTCGTCAAATGTAACCTTCAATTCCATCAGCCTCGCTGCTAATCGTCCGCAGCCGAAGAAAGTATGTTTCACGTCGTCTAAGGTTACTACTACTCCTTTTTTTTTTTTTTTACGGAGTGCAGTAGAGTGTTAATTATCTCCCTAGCGATTCAAATATTTATTACACAAAACTCGACGATCAATCAACAATTATTGTTAATTGAAAATTTAATAATTTGATATTTAATTATTTTTATTGCGTATAAATTGCGTTCTACTGCTCTGAATGGATTAGGCCTTTCGGGGATATCACTTTAAAAAAACGCGCCATATGCAATACCTCATGCTTTAAAATAACGTCTAATACTAATTTAATGTCGTTTGCCGAGCAAAAGTGGCGGAGAAAATTGCACATCATAATTCATATTAATTTTAAAAAAATTGTTTAAATATCCTTTTAACGAGAAAAAATAATAACTAACTCGATACAGTCAACATACATTAACGGTCGAGTAAAAAGTAGCAAACATACTTGAAGGCATATTACCTATACAATTATTTGGTGAAAATTGCAGGTATTAGAGACTAGAGTAGAGGTCTTTTATACTTATCACCTATTTTGGTTAAATCACTGACAGCTATTTCATTACTAAAATAATTCATCCACTTACTCAGTCCAGATGCGAAATCTGAACAGAATTTAAATTATTTTATAATATATTATTACTATTCAAGATTTATGTGTACTACGTTTTAAAATGTTGAGTTGAAGTCACTTTTCCACTATCCAAATATAATGGAAATTATAAGGGACAAAAGATTACAGTGGGCTGGGCATACTTGGCGAAGTTTAAATCTGCTTATGCGTACAGTACTTGAAGTAAACCCTACTGGAAAAAATCATTGTAAGACCACAATGAAGAGTGTAATTTGGAGTGACTTAGTCAGGAGGAACGTGGAAGCGTTAGGAGAAGATACGGACTGGAAGATTCAGGCTTTTAAAAAGGAAAACTGGAACAAAGCTGTATGATGGAATAGTCCTAGTGGCCAACTTAAGGTTTTTGCCGGTACCCAAAAAAACAATACAGTAAATGTATAATAATAATAATAATAATAATAATAATAATAATTTAATACTAAACGATAGTAATATTACTGATTTTATATTATGAGTGGAGCAAATAATGTATGGGTTTTATTATGATGTGTACGTGGTTTTTTTTTCAGTTTGTAACCACTTTTCAACCAGAAATCTTGCTCCAATTGATAAGTGACAAGGGACCTTTTTTTTTATTGTTTATCTAGTTCAAAGTAATTAGGAAAACTCTACCTTCTAAATATCCCATTTATTCAGAGGCACAGTGTCAAGCTTATTTATCGCATGCTATTAAATAGCCAATTATTAATGTTTGGTCAAACAATTTTGTCCACAGAGTAGGTACCTATAAAATAAAAATTTCGTAAAAACCTTGTAAAATGTAAATGTCTATGATTAGCTCAAAAATAGATCAAATTTTTTAACAATTTTACCACATATAGAAAAGACGAGTATAAGTTTTCTTTCAAAATATCAAGTTTCTGCGAACATTTTTAACTAAATAATAAGAAAATTGATGATTATAATAAAACCGTTATTTCCGTAACCGTTCCCGTTCTTTCTGCATATTTTTTCGGTTTAACTTAATTACAAAATAAAATACAAACAAATTAAAAAACGACTTTCTTACTCATCAACTAGATAAAAAAACTGAACAAATTGTCGATTTTCGATTGGGGAAATATTTCTGGTAGAAACCATAAAGAGTAAAAATTTAAAATATTATAAAATTAAAACATGAAATCATAGGCAACGTCGTGAGTTTGTCATTTTTCGGTTTTTCCTAATCATTATGAAAACCTCTAAGAAAATCGAAGAAAAAACCTCCCAATGCATCAACTAGATCAAATTCCCATTCAGAAAAAGTGCTAAACTTGATATATCGGAGCGCTCCCAGTCTAAACTGTATCTATAGTATATAAATGTAAAAATGAATATAATTTATGTCAATGATCTCGGGAACCACTGGGCCGATTTGTACGAGGCTTTTTGTGAAATTGGCCGCGTTGTCCGGAAAATGTTGATAGCTATTGAAATCGGTGATTGAAACCCGCTCCTCTTGAAAACCATCCATCGGTTTTTAAGTATTTTCGGTACGAAAATCAAATTATTATTGTTGAATTATTGTTTACCTCGGTAACACGGATGACTAGATATCGGGAAATTTAATATTTATATACGTTTAAAATGGACAGCGTTTTCCTTTTATCTACGATTCTCTACGTTCATATACGTAATATTATATTCTCGTGATCGATATTGGCTTATAATTAACTTTCGTTTTCGTCGATTGTCATTTATTATAAAATATAATATACAATTTAGTCGCCCAATCATCAATGGAATAATAACTGTACGCACGCATACCACAGCGGTTTTAATTTCTACATACTTGCATACAATACGACATACTTCACACATGGGTGGGCCACTATTGTAGGTGAGAAGTTGGGAAGGTAGAGAGAAAACGTAATGTTTGTCTTTACGCAACGATTAACCATTGCTAACGAATAACGATTCTGAGCAGAGCTCGTTTATTAGTGTTGCTTTTTCAAATATATATATAAATATATGTCATATTGTAGTAAAATAATTATGTATTTTCTTGAATGCCTAATAATTGTTCAATATTTTACCTATTTTCCCATTTTTCCCATTTATTATGAAAACTCCTGGGAAAATCAAAAATCAAGTCAGCCGCCCCAATCTGATTTCCTTTCAGAAAAAGTGCTATAATTGTAAATCGGAGCAAAATTGCTGGTAGAAAAGTTGTTCACAGATAAAAAATATAATAATAATAACAATAAACATCTATGCAAAATCAATATATGCCTCGTTCTGCTCAGAATCTAAAATATGATTTGTATTTTTAACGAGTTGGTGAACATCGTGTAAATAATTTACGCGTTGAAAGCAATTTCCATCAAATTTGATTCGCACATAACGATACACAGTATTCTCAAATAATAACAATAATGATAATGCATAGACAGTGTAGGTTTTCTAGACCAAGACCATTGAAAATCTTTTTTTTTTTTAGCGCGCGCTCACGTATTTATACGCGATGTTATTACGGGAGAAGATTCGTGCGTTGTTAGAAAAATATATTATTAAGATCGTCCGATGATTATAATATTTTTACGATGGTAGTGATGATGATGATGCTGATGTCCTATTCAAATGTGATAAAACTCATTATTATTATTATTAATATTATTATTATTATTATTATTATTATTATTATTATTATTATAACCGAATCATAAACGCGTATAGAATTCGTATTGTCTTGCGTCGTATACGGACGACGGGAAACGAGTATCCGTATCCATCGTTATGTAGGACTTTAAGAGAACGTAACATGCCTAAAGTATTTTAAGAGGTCGCGCATGTATGTGATTTTGAGAAAAAACGAGAACTTATTGACTCGACTTATCAAGTCCGGCCAAGTTAATGAATAATATATTAACTTAGTTACTCAATCAATTCAAGTTAAACGAACAAAAATTAACGATTAAACATAGTAAAAATTGAATTTTTTTTATCAATTAACCGATTGGAGTTAAAAGTCAATTTGAAAATTGAATTAACTATTGACTTGAATCAAGTAATATAAGTTATTTTTTTTTGTAAACCTAAAGCTGGTGATTTGATGTAAAACACTATGTGTGGAGTATAGATTAAGCCTTTCACAAAAAATTAAGGTCAAACGTTTTTTTTTATATTAGGTACGCGCAAGTCCTCTTGGCAAGGAAGGCAACGATCACAAAAGTCAAACCTTACACAAAAATCATTCGCACAAATAGTTGAAATATATTTAAAGTAAGGCTTAAGCAATCATTATATTGATTATGTACATTTCGTATTTTATTTGATGAGCACTTTATTTTAGGGGACTTGGTTGAGTTTTTGGGTAGGAGTGATCCTCCAAAGACCACGCCTCTGTTTGTGGCAATGAACAAAATTGAGGTTATTACGTGAGGGTTTAATATTTTTAAAACAAATTTACATCTAATGCGTTTTTTTTTTTTAATTTTGGCGGAAAATTTTGCAAGAGTTGGCAGTCACTTCTCCTGCCTCCACGTATACACACTTATAGTATTTCAACAAAGTGTACAAATTTTGCATTGCTCGTGAGTTGCAGTGCAAATTTATCATTTTTTTAGGTTATGATTTTATTAAGATGTGCGTTTTTTAATTATTCGATTGTCTGTAAACAATTACCAGCAATCTCTTCCAATCTGAAAGTTTCTTTTCTGGAAGCAAATAAGGTCCTTTTTGTGCGCTTTGATTTTCTTTGTAGCTTCCTAATCTGATAAAAACCTAAGAAAACGGTTCTTTTATTTTCGATTTTCGATTTTTGTTTTAATTCGGTTAGTAATAACAGTGAAAAACATACAATTGTTCACAGAATAAAAACCTTTGGCATTCTTCAGACATGGGCAAATTTTCAAAAGACGGTTTTTGAACTATTTACTGGTCTGAAATTTTCAAGTTGTTTTCGTTTTTATTTGTTTGGATACGGATAAAATTGTTCTGACAGAAATGTTCGGAAATTGTATTCGAGGTTCGTCGCAATGCTATTTGCGTGGTGCTAATGCGTGGTCGTAGTAATTTTGGTTTACAAGTTCAAATATGATCGAAAATCATTTTAGGCATTTCAAAACACGTTTGAGAGTTTACGCTCAGAATCGTTTTTCGTTAGCAACGATTTTTCGTTGCGCGCAAATATCCGTTAAACAATTCTATGCATATCCTTAATAGTTTATATCTCCCAACTTGCCACCTACATCAGTGACACGCCCGTCAGCAGTATGAACACTTTATTATTATTATTATTTTGTATAGGTAATGGAAATTCGGTTTCTCAATACACGCGAAGACTATAGCTCGAGCGCGAAACGGATATTACAAACAATTTTACGGACGTATACCGCGTCGTCCTCCATACATTATTATAAGACTTTTTCGAGACGATTGCGCGCGACCACATTTGTCACGATATTATTATTCGATTCTTTCGCCGTACGTATTTTATTTGTTTGTACATAATATACGCGCAAACACTATAGCTGTTGCACGGTAAATCGAACGAAAATATGCCATTTTCGTCGTTGGAAACTGCAGTCGCGTCGGAAACACACGTGTGTGCTACAATTTATCATTATTAGCTATTATTTTTATCGTCTCCGCGACTGATCGCGACGCGGACACGTCTTACTCGTCATATATAATATTTTATTATTATTATTCGCTTCTTATTCTGACGTGTGCGGTTTAGTCCACCGCGAAGACAAAAATCCGCGCCGCGCGAAAAAAACCGTATCATACAAAACGACCGGAGTCCTTCGCCGAGAGACTTCACCGGCCGGATCTAGGAATATTATAAACTATCGCACCTATATATATATGTGAATTATATGTGTAGAACGCGGAGAGAGTATCGAGTTATTTTGCGCGCGTGCGCTGAAACCGCGTAATAATGACGTCTGCGAAACGGTAACGACAAAATGTCGAAGGCGTCCCGAATTCGTTTCCGTTTGCCTCGCGTCTCTCCTTATCGCTTTTATGCGCTGAACATTGAATAATAAACCGCGGCCGGTATGCAATTAAAACGTTTTCCGCGTTTCGCGCAGACGGCCAGTGGCGGTTAAACGCGATGATCAAGGGGAGGGGAGGCGAAATCAAAGCCGACCCTCTTCCATACCATCACGTTTTATGCATACGGATTATAGGTATAATAATTAATATTTATACACATTGATAAAACACGTTAATATTGATTGACGTATACTAACAGAAAGATATACATAGTCTATGTGCATAAAATAACTCGTCCTGACTGATTCGTCATCGCCTAACCCAAACTACTGGATGGATCGGGCTGAAATTTGCCATACAGATTAGCTATTACGACGTGGGTATCCGCTAAG